AAATCTATCGGCAGCGGCAACATCCAGAAATCCATCGGCGGTTCCTTCACGTGATCATGCAACAAACAACAAACGTTTCCGGTTCTCATCTTGATTTCATTAGCCCATGCAAGCATGATTCATACTCTCTAGGACAAATTGCTTAACATGCGGGGCGCGATCAAGGGCACGTGACTCGATCCACCATGCCGAGTGTCGGCTCGGAGCGAGACTTGGCCCGGTTCTACACACCTCAATGTAAAACCCACATCAAGTCAAGCTCGTCCCGGAACACCACAACATGATTACAAGACATACAACACCTCGTTTTGTGCCTCAGTTGTGCCATGACTCACGGCCACATGCAAAAGAACAAAACATGTGCAACTCCAAGCATTACAAACATAGGCACTCCTCAAGTCCAAACGCGCAACACTACGCTCTAACCAAAGTATAGGGAATTAACTTAGTACTCGGGGGCTCTAGGGTATTTAGTGATAGTGCGGTGGTGAGAGTGAGTGACCGGAAAAGAGATGGCCGAGAATGAGAGAGATGGAGGCCGAGAAAGAGAGAAGCCGAGAGAGTAGGGAGAGAGAGAAGCTTGCTCGGTTTTGGGGAAAGAAGAATGTGGCTTGGTGTCTCTCTATTTATAGGCCAAGGTTTCAATAATTGCTATGCCAAATGGTCCAATGAAATTCATTCAAGTGGCACATAATAATGAGAGGTGATCTTGGAAAATCCTAGGGAAATCTTGACCAAATCATAGGTTTCATTATTTGATGGCCCACCTAAACACCAAGTGTCCATCTAGGGTCATAATGCCCTATCTTAGAGTATTGAGTCATCATGTGCATTAAATTTCTAGATGACACTTAAGCTTATACATTAATGATCTAGGTGACACATAAGCTTCTATTATTGGTCTCTTCAATAATTGCCCTTGTCTTGGCTCCCATAATGGCCCTATATCTAGAGATTTCAAAATCTCATGCATTAATGAAGAAGATCACATTCATTAATGAAGATCTTATCTTATAAAATTCTTCTAATGATGGCCCTCCAATTATTGGTCCCAACTTTGGCTTCTTGCTCCCTATGCTTGGCCGAAACTTACTGATTTTGTTCTAAAGATCATTGGCTAATGGCACTTAAGCATACGCTTAAAAAATTAATAAGTATACTTAGCAAAATGCCTAAGTAAATGGGGAAATTCCGAGTTTAAAATGATTGATCATCCTACCTGGGTTGAGGTTCGGTGTAGAAATTCCGCCAAATATGATCAAACATGACTAAATCAAAGTCCAAGTCCAATGGTGTAAGCTTGGGCCGGTCGGGTTGCCCAAGCGCATGGCTTGTACAATCGGGCCTGACCGGGCGTAGGGCCAGGGACGCTGCTAGGCCATACGGGCACACGGCCGGGCACATGGCCGGGCGTGTAGGCAAGCGAACGGGCGCGGTGCCGAGCTACACGAGCGGTGCGTCGAGCACGATGCCGAGCCACACGAGCAAGGGGCCAGTTTATGGACCAAACACATGCATTGGCTCATAAATGGGCATAATGCATGGCTCATGGTCAAGTTCATTGGGCACGGAACTAAGTCGAAGCCAGATCTGATGGGCACATTGTCTAGTACAAGGGTCAGGCACAATGACCGGCACGCAGATGGGCACAAGGCAAGTCTGTGGCCTGGCTGACGAGTACAATGGCCGGTCATGACCGGGCACAAGACCTGGCCGGCGCTACTGACACAATGCCTGGCCCGCGACCAAGCCACTAGGCTCATGGCCTGGCACATGGCTCGGCCATGGCCTACCCGACTCAACGCAACGATTCATGGCCGATTTGCAACCAGTTCACGTTCGAGTATCAATAACGCATGGTCAACCCTCGGTTATCATGTGGCCTTGTGGAATCCAGTACCACGGGATTAATCCATGGTCATCCGGGATTGATACATGGTCGTGCGGAATCACCCGCGACCGACACATGCTGACATGGTACTAAACTATAGTTATCTCGGACCGTCCCACTAACGGCCCTTATGGTCGAAGGGTCAATCCACAGTCGTATCACTCTAATCGACTTGCGTGAGTAGGGAGTCATTCCACTGTCGATCCCTAGGCCAATTCATGGATAATCTTTCGATCGAACCATGACCAATCATCAGTACACTCGTTCCGAACATGTTATCCGTTCCATTATCGACCCTCGGCTCGACTGCTCGCCCATTCTATCACCATTTATCTTTGGCTATCTTGGTCCCAAATTTGGGGATGTCACAGTTTTTGCGTTGTTTTTCATGATAGGTGCCGAATAAATTGATTAAATTCAAAGTGTTTGTTAATTTTGAGTAATGTGGTAATTTTTCTTGTGATGGGTTCAAGTCAATGAAGTCTAAAAGTGTTCATTTTATGTTTCTTCTTTCATCTCTTTTTTTTTTGTCTAAGAAAAGTAGGTATTAATTCATTTCTCATTTATTATTGAATCTGATTAAAGTTTATGCTTTTGAGGATGATCTTTAGTGAGGCCTTTAGCATTGCTGAGTTTCTCTCCTTCTAGGGATTTTGTTAGTCGAAGATTTTGAAATTTTGTAGAAAAGAGTGGAAAGAGAAAAGCGAGTCTTGTCCGATAAAGAGCAGGGGTGTTAATGGTTCGATTTAATTCAATTTGGATTTTTAGGAAAATCGAACCAAACCGAACCATTTAGATGTGTGCTTGCTCCGAACATAAAGTCGACACGAACCGATCCTATCCGAACTGAAAACTTCGGTTCGGATAGGATCGGTTCAGTTTTCGGTTTTCCTCTTTTTCATTTTTTCTGCGCTTCCTCTGTAACGATCTGTCCAATGTTCTCTCTTTCCCCCCACCCCCCTCTCTGGGTAGATTCTTCACTAGTTGAGTAGCGAAATTTGCAGCTTTTGAGCTGAATCTCGCTCCGATATATCGAGTGAGTCGAGTCTTGCGAGGAATGGGTGCCGGAGCTTCTCGCTCATCGAGTCCAGATTCGGAGTCCACGGCGAGGCTCCTGGGGTCGACGACGATCGGGAAGGTCAGGCTATACGGCGCCGATCCGGCGATAATCAAGGCGCTGGCGGACACCGGCGTCGGGATCGTGATCGGGGCGGCCAACGGTGACATACCGTCGCTCTGGCCTCCGATCCTGGAGCAGCCGCTCGGTGGGTCGACTCCAACATCCTCCCGTTTTGTCCCGCCAGCAACATCACCCTCCTCACGGGGGCCTCGGACTTGGGAGATGGCGGCGGGGACGGGAACGACGGGGGGAGGCGGTGGGGTCGTGGGGAGACGGGGCGGAAGCCGGCGGGGTGGTTGCCGCGGTCGGGGAAGGCGACGTGGACGCCTTGGGCGAGGGGCGACTTGGACGGGGTGTGGGCTGACGACGGGGCCACCGCCAAGCCGACGAGGAGGACCGCCATTGTGGCTAGAGTGAGCAATGCGCTCGAGCCAGCCATGGGAGAAGAGCGAGAGAGAGAGAGAGAGAGAGAGAGAGAGAGAGGAGTCAGAGAGAGGAGAGTTGCAAAGATAGAGGAAGAAAGAGAAAAGTCAGAGAGAGGAGAGTTGCGAAGGTAGAGGTAGAGAGAGAGAGAAAAGTGAGTGAGAAGAGAGATAATAGATCAGAAAAGGGGAAGAGAGAAAACAGTGCCTGAGGGAAGAGAGAGTGCACGAGAAGGGAAGAAAAAAGAAAAGGAAATCGAATCCGATCCGATCCGATCCGAACCGAAATCAAATCATCAACAAATCAATTTTTATTTATTTATTATCCGAACCGAAACCGAAAATGCACGAATTTTCGGTTCGGTTCGGTTCAATTCGGTTTCGATTTTCGGTTCGATTTTTGACACCCCTTTTGCTTTCACTAAGTGAAAAAAGATTGAACTTCTAATGATTGAACTTCCTGATTTCTTTGACCCTGCCAGGATAGAGTACGCATTTGATTTTTTGAGTGAATTTTGAGTATTCTTTTCATTGTACATTTTCTCGAACCGGTTTTCATTGACCTCTTTCTTTTCTACAATCTGTTTGGTAGAATGATTTCAAGATGCACATATTGATCTAGTTATGGTTCATACATTGTAAATGATGAAGGGTTTTTATCCAACAAATTTTAGTTTTCTTCTTATTTCAGTGGGTTTATTGAAACTTTTTATCATTTTGTTTCCGGTTCTTGATAATGTGAAAAATTAGTGGACACACCAAATGCATTGTTGCATATTAGCTAGTAAAGTCTATTGGTGGCAGCGCAAAGTCTAGTTGAATCCCTCCACAGTATTATATTGGGTTGGTTTTGAATAGAGAAGGGCTTCTATATATTGCACAGCCACCAATTAAACCAAGAAAACATCATTCGACTGAGTTCTGTGATTTTACGGAGGTTATTATGGTGGCATTTTCTTTACAAAGAGAGAGAAAGATGTTGAAAGGTGGGATGAAGAGGAAGTAATGTGGGACCCGGAAAAAAAAAACCTAAATAAGACATCGGGGGAAAGTTTAAGATACTGAAAGGTAAGACTCACAATGGATGAAATGGTCAAAACACTTTGTTAGGGAGTGTTTTAGTCAAGTTAGGAGTGGAAAAAGTGCAGCCCTGATTTTTTTGTGATAAGGAGATTCTCTTTATAAACAAATAAAGCAAAGAGTTACTAAAGAAATAACTCAAATCAACATTATAGAGCCGTTACAAAACAATTGCTCTGATTAATTCAAAACCGTTGAAATATCCAAAGCTCATCCAGTTCCAAGAAAGTTCCTAGATAGAAGCAAAGGAGAAACCTGTTTTCCAGGAGCAGCTCTTCTGCCATCTGGTTTGCCCATTGCTAGCTCCTCCATTGTTCTTTTTGGCTCAAACCTGTTTTAATGTTCTTTTCTAGATATAACACCTTGGAATTCTTAGATATATCGGATTTGTAAAATCCTCGTTCATTAGTTGGGCAACCTAATGTAAAAAATACTGGCCTTTTCTTCTTCTTTTTTGTTGAACCTAAGTCTAGTCTGTGAAGTGGGCCTTTTCTAGATATGATTGTTAATTGGTTTGTCAGTTAGCACCAAAGCATCCTGCATTTCTCAGGAAAGAATATGCTTCTCCGGCATGGTCACCTCACTAACACCTAGAGTTTCCCTATAAAATATTACTCCCATAAGGAACTAAGCAAGCTGCGCATCGATGGAGAAGCTAATTTCGAGCAGATGCGACTTGCAACACGTGCCAGATTCTTACGTGCTGCCTCCAGAAAGCAGACCTGGCGAAGAAGAATTTGCGCTCTGCAAAACCATTCCGGTAATCGACCTCGGACGAGACCGAGCAGAAAACGTCCGGCTAGTTCTAAAGGCAGGCCAAGAGTTTGGCTTCTTTCAGGTTTTGCAAAGCATTGCATCCGCCTTAAATTTTTTTTTATGGTAAATAGGATCAGGGGATATCAACATGTATGCATGCACTCCTGCATTTTCGCATCTGTTGGAACTCTTTCAGTACCGCAGTAGTCTAAATTCAATCATTTTAGTTCGCCGGAAAGAATCTGCTTCTCGAAAAGATTCAAACCTTTCGATGGGGCGCAGAGAATCAGGTTTTGGAAACAGATAGTCTAATGGTGCACCAGCACTAGTGAATATACTCTGAATGCGATATTGCAAATGCTAAAGAGGGATAAATATGCCATTTCATGTCAAACTGCAGTTGACGAATCATGGGGTTTCAAAGAAGCTAATGAGCGATGTGTTGGAGGTGGCGGAGGAGTTCTTCGAGCTGCCGAAAGAGGACAAGGCAAGCGTCTACTCGGAAGACCCAAAGAGGAGCTGCAGGTTGTACACGAGCATCGACTACGACAATGAGAAGGTGCACTTCTGGAGAGACAATCTGCGACACCCTTGTCATCCTGTGGACGAACACGTTCAATGCTGGCCCGAGAAGCCTGCTCGCTATAGGTATCCTTTTGCTTGCATTTCTGTGTATATTATAGGCATAAATACATTCCGGTCCGGCCGAAAAGCTGAGTTTAACAACAGCAGACCGACTCGACAGACTCTTGTTGAGGCAAACTCTTGGCAAAACACTCTCAATGTCCAAGAATACATATTTTAGCACTTGCACCTATCTACAGTCCACACCTTTTTCCTTGTTTCTTTCCGTTACTGGACTCAACTCCATCCTGTCATTAGGACAGGACATGTTGGTTCCAACCAACTTGATTGTATTGTGATTGATGAAGCAGATCATAAAGTCTAATAAGGGAACCAACCATGCATGAATCGCTATTTCAACATGTATAAGTAAGGATTTGGCATTGTAGATTGTCGAATGGCACATGTTGAACTTCACGAGAAACCCGTACTGTAACTTTAAGAGCCCATGCAAACGAAGGGGCTCTCGGGATCACCTTCCACTCCACTGTTAATCTGCTTATGCTTTGCAGGGAGCTCGCGGGAAAGTACTCAGTCGAAGTAAGAAAGCTGAGCATGTTGTTGCTGGAATTGATTGGGGAAGGCTTGGGACTAGAGTGTGGATTCTTCGAACGGGATGAGTTGAACCGAGTTCAACTAATGGCTCTGAACCGCTATCCTCCTTGTCCCAATCCAAGTTTGACCCTCGGATTGCCACGGCACGGAGATGTGAATCTCATTACCGTCCTTCTTCAAGGGCCAGTGCATGGGCTTCAAGTCCTCAAGGACGGACAGTGGCTTGCTCTTCAGCCTCTTCCCGATGCCTTTGTGATCAACATAGGACTGGCTTTGCAGGTTCACCTCACACCTCTCTTGACCTGATCTAATCTCACATGATGCACCTTTTAAGACCCTCAAAAGATTCAAGATTTGTCTAAGGTTTGTCAGTTTCTGTAGATTATCAGCAATGGGAAGCTAAGAAGTGCAGAGCACCGAGTGACGACGAACAGAACATTGGCACGGACAACAGTCACCACCTTCCTTCATCCTTCTGGTGATTGCATGGTTGAGCCCGTGAAAGGGATAATCGATAACCACAACCCATCGCTTTATAGATCCTTCTTGTACAAGGACTTTCTATCTACTTACATAAAAGACACATATGAAGGAGAACCGCCCCTGAAGCGTTATACCCTTTAGAAGGAAAAATCTTACAGAAATACCATACGAATTGTGCTGAATTTGTTTTACATTATGCTAGCGCAATGTCGGACTTTCCTTTGCTGCGATAATCCAAATGGAAAACCAACAAATTTCATCCCTTTGAGATACCGGGAAACTTTACTTTGTCATATGGTCCATTGCATTTTGTATCACAATGAACCAAGATCCCTTTTAGCCTCTAAAGTTCGAGTAACTAGCAGATTGACTAGTGAAAATTCAAAAGTACTACACAAAGCTTGTCAGAGAACTGATTCTCCAAGCTCTTTTCTAACCCTTATTTGCTCTCATGGATTTGTCGCAACTACCTCGTCTTCTCCAATTTACACAACCTACTATACTGAGAATGAACAAGAGGATGCTGCGAGCTAAGAATTGCAGAGCACCGAGTGACGACGAACAGAACATCGGCACAGACAACAGTCTCTTCCTTCATTGAACCTTCCGAAGAATGCATGACGGAGCCTGCGAAAGGGATAATCAAGAACCACAACCCACCGCTTTATAGATCCTTCTTGTACAAGGACTTTCGATCTACTTACATGGTAGACACATATGAAGGAGAACCGCCCCTCAAGCGTTATACCCTCTAGAAGGACAAATCTTACAGAAATACTATACGAATTGTGCTGAATTTGCACTACATTATGCTCACGCAATGTTGGATTTTCCTTTCCCGTAACTGCGCTACGTGTGAACAAGCTACTCAAGAAATTAATGGATAATCCAAATGGAAAACCAAAAAATATCATCCCATTGAGATACAGGGAAATTTCACCGTCATATGGTCAGTTGCATTTTGCGTCACAACGAACCATGATCCATTTTAACCTCTGAAGTGGAAGTAACTAGGAGATTGACCAGTGGAAATTCAAAAGAACGACACAAAAACTGGTCAGAGACAAGCTCTTTTCTCACCCCTTAGTTGCTCTCATTGATTTGCGGTGACTACCTTGTCTTCTCCAAGTTACACAACCTACTATACTGAGAAAGAACAGTAGGATAGCGCACTACTTAAGAAGCAGCTCAGCTTCAAATGAACAAAAAAAAATGCAGATTTACCGCATAAAGTAAATCAACAATTCATTGGTAAGACTAGGAGATACCAGATTAGGATGTCTCCTAGAAATTAACACTTGCATTGATTGTGTTCGATTCAGTATCTATAGAAACAAAGCAATCTTGTCTTTCACAGGTAAAAGCACAACAAAACTTTGGCGCTACATATGTAAGCTAAACACAATTCACCAAGGCACACCAACAAAACCGATCATAATCAGCGAACATTGACCAACTCAACATCAAACACGAGCCATGAGTTCGGCGGTATCTTCCCACCAGCGCCTTGAGCACCATAACTGCATTACAGAGTTGGACAAAGAGGATCAACAAGACAATTAATAAGAGGAGGTGAAGAATGTGGAGAAGTCTATTTTATTTACATCATATAGAAAAGTTATTCAACACATTGAGCACTTAAAAGTCTGATGGATACAGTATAGTAATTAGCATGCTTAGCATCCATTCTAGAGTTGCCAAAATTCACCACAAGCTAGGCCGAATGCAACAAATCAAGACTAGCGGGAAGAAATGGAAAGAAAAAAGGAAAACATACAACATATCAGTCATAGAAAACGCATCAAGTAAACAGAAGTAAAAATGTAAATTGCATACCCCATTGCGGGTGGAATAGTGAGCCTTCTTTTATCTCCAATGCGCATTCCTAAGAGTTGCACAAGGAAACAAATTACAAAAAGACAAAGACACAAATAAAAAATGCTTAAAATATTTTGAAAATGCTAGTCTCACTTACCATTGACCCCTACATCCCATCCCTTTATCACTTGTCCAATACCTGCACAGTCAACAGAATGCATTTAAAACAAACGATTGGCAAAGATTAAGTTCCAGAAATGAAAAGTTTATGTACTGCGATTATTACCCAATCGGAATTTAAATGGTGCGCTTCCTACATTGGAATCAAATATCTTGCCATTCTTTTTCAGTTTGCCAATGTAGTGCACACTAACCTGAAACCAACAACACATACTCATTACCAAAATAATACTGGACTTTCCACAAAATCAAGAAAAAAAAAGTAAGTCTAAAATAAATGTTTAGGTTGAATTGACCGTTCGTAAGAAGGATAAACCAGGTGAAATGACAGGGTTGCAGAGTATTACATACTTGTTACCAAAACAAAATTAAAATCTCCACCAGATCAAGATCAAAAGCAAGTCTAAATAGAGGTTAAGGTTAATTTGAACAATCTTAAGAAGGCTTAACTAGGTGAATCAATATGACTTGCAGTATTCAAAGTCCATTTAATGAAAAAAAACCTCAGTGTTAATGCCTCGTTCCCCTTCACAATAACGGTAAGTTCATTCATGAAACATCACCCCTCATTATTTTTTTTGAGACATGCTTTAATGTGTGAAAAACACCTGGAAGAAAAGTAAAACCAAACTACAAAACAAAGACTACAAAATATTTCAGCCCAGTTTTATTGCTTTTACCATGGAATTAAAGTCAGGAAGGAGAAAAGGATTAAAAGGATTAAAAGGATGGGAACAGTTAGCATCTTATCCTGTTCCAAAAAAGTTCCTAGATAGAAGCAAAGGAGAAACCTGTTTTCCAGGAGCAGCTCTTGTGCCATCTGGTTTGCCCATTGCCAGCTCCTCAATAACTAAGCCATTCGGAAAAGTCCTGACTTGTGAGGGCTTGTCATTGCCTTGTTGTTCTTTCGGCTCAACCTTGGACGCGCTCCTGTCTTTCACATCTGTCATGGGCTGATCTCCATTTGCTGCTGCTGCAGGCTCCTGGGACTTCTTTTTCTTTTTCTTCTTTTTCTTCTCCAGTTGATTTGCACTGTGGATAGTGTACATTATAGACCAAAATTACACAAACAGATTAACTATAGTTTCTTTTTCATTTTCTTTTCTAGCTATAAGACATTTGAATTCTTAGATATATCAGATTTGGAAAATCCTCGTTCATTAGATGGGCAACCCAATGTAAAACATAAGGGCCTTTTCTTTTCTTTTCTTTTCTTTTTTCCAGTCGAGATTACAATTCCGGGTTTCACAAGGTTCCTAGTGTATCTAATTGACAAACTACCCTTTTCAGAGCTATGGACACAAAACAAAACACCAAATTACCACTATCGTGTAAATCAAAACAATCCACCTTACAGGCACTACATTCTTCCTGTTATCTAAACCTCGGCAAATAATCACACTACATTTGGAATCAAACTGCCAGATACTATAGCATTAATTACAAAAACATCTATCTTACAGCCTTTTGTTTCCTTTTCTAATAATGACTCAATCTTTTAAACTTAAGCATATATTCACTTTATAGGCCATCGAACTCGGATCTATATGCTGAATGAAAAGGAACTAATATTTTAAAAGAGAAGGTCAAGTCAAGAAAACCCACTGGCTACTTAAAGGTTCATCATCATGCTGGTTTCCCTCAGGCATAACCTGATCGATATCCTCATTCTTCCCCTCATGAGATTTGCTTTGGTTATCTGTCGATGGAGCAATGTTGCCGTCATCAACATCAGTATCAACTTTCCCTTCTTTATCCATTTCTTTTTGTTGTTTCTGTTTCTTTCTCTTCCTTTTCCTGCCAATGAAGTATACAAACTTAAAAAATTTGTAAGAATGACAAGAAGTCAAATGTTAGTACCAGTCCCATCTAGTCCAGTCACCCCAGCTTGAATAATTGCAGATAAGATAATTATTGATGCCACATTATGAACATTTTCCAACTATGACCAATAATGAACTTAAGAAAGGTAAAGTCAACATGTAACACTAATAAGAATCGGGGTTAGTCCCATTGTTCCCAGTCAAAAACAAAGATGACCAAATACTTTACCTATCTGGTTGACTATCTTGCTCGACACTTTCTGGCTCTCTCTTTTGTTTATCAGCCTGAACCTCATCGACTTTCTTTTTCAATTCCCCAGTTGTCTCCTTTTTTTGTTGTGAAACTGCTCCAGGCTTCAAGCTAGCAGCATTGCTTCCATGTGAAATAGATAACGGAAAGCCATCTTCATCCTCACTTTCCACAGGCGCGGTACTACTGATATTTCTGACAACAATTTGACGTTGAGACTGAGAATCTTCTTCCGAATCACTTGGTCTATTCTTCTTCTTTTTCTTGGACAAAGGATTCCCATTGGCAGATTTATCATCTTCTGTTATCTCCTCAATTACCACTGCAGGAATATTAACTTCAAATATAAGTTATAAGAGCACATAATTTCAGAGCATCACGCTCATAACCAGAGTTAATGGCAGAAATACACCATCCCATGAAATTATAAAACAAACAACAAAGACATGGATTTGACAGGAGGAATCAACAAACAGAATAATTTCTTTCCATGACAAGACAACCGAATGTTTTGAAGGGCATAAGAAAGGCCTTCTGCATCAATTGATACAAGTACACCAACACTACACTCAATAACAGATAAAAAAAAAAAAAAACACTCAATAAACGTCTATAGCCGTTATACACAGAGCAAGGCACAGGTATAAACCAGAACATTCATGCACACATATCAAGTTTCTGAATGAAGAAAATAACTCAACCAACGAGCACATGCCAATGCACATTAACTTCCTTCAGGTTTACCAGAAACATGCAAAAGAAAAAAGGAGGGATAAAAATGCTAAGGTACATGTAAAATCAAATTACAGATTATCACCTCCACTGTTACGGACCAGAGGAGAAGAGGGCGCAAACATCTCATCATCACTTGTATCAGTGTAGTCATCCTCACTATCAAACTGAGAGGACTCCTCGGACCCTATATCCAGACCATCCTCTCCACAACAATCACTTTAAATTTAAGTTAAGAAGAACTCAAACGGAGTTGCATCATCATATACAAAATTATAAATTCACAAGTTCATGAGGCACTCGAAAGGATACAGTCCACATTCATCTCCGACATCCTCATCATCCACCAGCAGATAACCAGAAAGATGGATGCTTTTTGGGCCCATCACAGAGAAGGACACTGAATCTTCATCGTCAAATTCAAGATCCAAGGAACATGACTCAATCTTATTAGGCAACAGGGTACATAAAAATATAGGAGGCTTATCTTCCCTGAAACATTGCAATATGCTCTTCTCAGCAGATGAGCCAAGTCCCAATGTTGCCTACAATTCACACAAGAAGTACACATCCATTGAGAACAGTGATCAAACTTCATTAAAAAAAACAAAAATTATGCACTGAAATATCCAATGCTGCCTTAATTCGTCGGCAGAAATCTTTATGGGTCAAAAAGGCACATTATACCATAGTTTCCATTTCATACAGTAAAGCCTCTTGTTCCCTTTCGATTAACATCACTACGCTAGAATAAGCAAGAGAAAGAGCAAATGACAAGAAGAAGAATAACCTGGGTTACGTGAAGCCTCCCCTGTAGATTATCCTCGTGAAAAGGGTTCACCTTTTTTCCTGGTTTCACTTCAATCCCTGCAGAAAAACATCATAATGATGTAAGAAAAGGGCAACAGAGAGGCATGAAAGTAGGGGGGAAAATGTACAAAACCCTCCTAAGCTTTCTCCACCACGAAATGCATGAGGGAAATCATTGGTGACCCAAAAAGCAATCAGTCTTGTTCATGATTCAAGCCCAGATGAGCGGGATGTTTCAAGTCCTAAATCAACAATTCCAATCTCTAATCCACAGAGCTCTTGCTCTCAAACGCAAACCAGCAAGTGAAAGTCTCGAACAAAGAAGCAAACTAGATAAGAAAAACAGAGGGAACCCAAGAAACATCTTCTGGGTCAGCGTCAAGAACTCCGAATTCATGGATAGAGAGCATCGTAGATGACGAAGACAGACTTACCCCAGAAACCCATTGAGTCTCGAGCGTATCTGGTTCAGCTCTCTCAGCGTCTCCAGGGCTTAAGCCAGTGCGCTTTCGTAAAACCCTAACAATCCCTCTTCGGCTATATATAAAGCTTCTCTTGCTGATCTGGAAGTTTCATTTGTCTTTTTTTTTTTTTTTTTTTTGGGTCAAACGTTTCGTTTGCCTTTTTTTTTTTGAAATAATGACGCAAACAGTTTTTGAATTTTACTTCAATATGTAATGTGGTCCATAAACTTTTAATTTATTCAATATAATCCGTGAACTTTAGTTTAATGTTCAATGTGATCCTTGAACTTTTTATTTGTTCAATGTTGTCTATGCACTTTTGGTACATGTTTAATTTGGTAAAAGTTTAGGGACTACATTGAAGATCATATAGTTTAGGAATTAAATTGAACATGTACTAAAAGTGCATTGACGATATTAAACAAATTAAAAGTCTAGATACCACATTAAACATTAGGCTGTGATTATATTGAACAAATTAAAAATTCAGAAATCACATTATATATTAAAATTAAATTCGAGGATTGTTTGTGTCATTATCTTCTTTTTGTCGAAAGTTTCATTTGTCCTTCAGAAGTCAAATAATGGCGCTGGCTTAGCCTTGGACAGAACGATCTTCGATCGACAAGCAACACTAAACTTTGGGAATGTTTTCACTTTTGACGCAAAAGCTGGTCTATTTGGTCTACACTTCCAAAAAAAAAAACCTGTTTTTCTTGTTTTCAGTTTTCTCTCCAACAATTTGAAAATGAAGAGAGAAATTTTATGTTTTGAAAGATTATAAAAAGAGATTTTACATGTTGATTTTTATATATTTTAAAATGTATTTTATATTTCATGTTAGGTGTTCAAACTACAAATTTTAAATGTAGACAAAGCACATGTCAATTGTCCAGTTGTTAACTGATATTGTCAATCAAACTACAAACCAGTCATGGAACGATTACATTAAAACCATCATGGAAGGATGACAAAAAGCAAAATGTTATAGGGGTGAGCGGATCCAAGTTTCATTGAAACTCACCCGTCGGAACAGATTTTTCATTTTTTTGAAACTTAGAACCTATCCTATACAACCCGAAACCTGAAACCTAGCTTGTCACATTCCACTGCATCTTGTCCGTTAGAACAAGTTCTTTGTTTTTTGGAACTTGGAACTTACCCTATATACCCCTAAACCTATGAACCTAGAACCTACATTGTCATGGATTCTAGGGTCGGTTCCAAGGTCTATCATATTTTTTTTTTTTCATTTTGAGTTAAGCAAAATGAAAGTAAACTCAACAACAAAAATGAAAGTTTCTTATTTGTCAATAACAATAACAATAACAATCCATAAAAGATGAACACATAAAATAAAATAAACAATAAAAATTTCAAAACACGTAACATAAAACCTAAATTATAGAACTTCAGTCCTCAATCATCCATTAAAAATTGCCAATTTCTAATCACCTAAAACCAAATGAAACAACAATCACAATTAATCACTTAATAATAGTTGGCTCCAAATGTTAATCATCCATGAAAAATGTGTATGAGTCATACACACGCTCTGCTACTTTCATTTCGACTCTCACCGAATATCTCCAGTTAGAGAGAGAGAGAGAGAGAGAGAGAGAGAGAGAAGGTTTGAACGGATCTTTTTCCTTAGACTCATATGGATTACGCAAGAAATGCAGGGGACCCATGAAGCTTGTTTCTTTCTTTTAACAAATAAAAAAAAAGTATGTAGTCATAGTCTCTTTTTTGTTTTTGTCCTTGCACACGAGATGCTGATGATGTAAGAGGAAAAATTATCAATTGATTGATAAACCGAAATACATATGCTTAGATTATGCTACCTTAAATGTGTTTTATTTTCGTAATCCTGAGCGCAAGACTTAAAAAGGAGTGAGAATTAACTCCCGGTTCTCAGTTCTTGGTCCGGTTCCCAATTTCCGATTTGTTTCTCCCGGGAACCAAAGGTTTCTAAAAGGACGAAATCGGGAACCGGACCGTGGCGCATTGGATACTAAAACCATATCAGTGGAACATCGGTCTGGTTCACAGTTTTATTCTGAAGCTATACTTACCCCTAGAATGTTGTCATCATTGATAAAGCAAATTCCAGATTGGGGACGAGTACTAATGAGTAATGACTATTATCTTATGCAATATTTCTTATAGAACTCAGACACTACAATGAAAAAGTTTACCCCTAATACAACAAATAAAGGTGAAGAAGAGAATAAATTAACCTACTCCTTACTATAACTCTCCATTTCAATCACACATATGTATTTATTTTCTATTAGATTCATAAGTTCAATCAAGTGATTTCGAAAGAAGTGACATGTAAAAGTCTCACATTGAGAGAGAGAGAGAGAGAGAGAGAGAGGCCTTGTTGAATATTGATAAGTAGACGCCTACATTAAATGTTCATCACTTTATGTTGCTACTTCAAGAGCTGATATTGGGAGCTTGACCAACGTGGAACAGGCCGGGTTGTTACAAAGAATATGACTGTTTACTAGAGAGATGCGTCATTTTTTGTAGGGATAATAAGAAAGAAGGAAAATAGAAGGAAATCGGTTGTCTTTTTGAAGCCTTCCACTTTTGGATGACATTGAGCCAAGCTATCAGCGAGTAGTTTGGAACTGCCTTGATGACTACTCGAGATTGACTTGCTCATTGAGCTCGAGCTCAATCTTGATCTTATCAATAGTTAGCTCGATAAGCTCTCGAGCCTTTAAACAAAAATTAAAATTATCTATAAGTTGACTATAATTGAATCGAGTTGAGTTCGAGTATCTTGATTTTCTACTAGAGTCAAGCTTGAGCAAAATAATAAATACCTAATAGAGCTCAAATTTGGCAGTGTATCGACTTGACACGATTTGATTATTTGGAATTCCTCACACTAAATACAATGTGCTCTTGAGTTAACTTTGCATTGTAAGGTTGGATCAAAGTCCATGAAATGCGGATGTAGCTAAGAACTCAAGAAATAAGTAATAGTGTGGAAAGAAAAGATGTCCGTCCGGGTGGCTCCAACAACATGATCCCTAGTTTTATAATCCCTAGTCCGAATCCAAAAGGCCCAGAATGAAAACACAAATCAACCCATTTAAGCCTTTTCATATTATTTTACTTTTTTGATTGGCTCATTTGAGCCTTTTTTTTATTTTGAAGTTGCCAAAGGCTTTCCTTTCAGCAGAATGTAGAAAGCTAAAGACAGTTGGACTGCCTGTTAGGCTGGGCACAAATTTTTCCTACATTCATGAATCAAATCATACATCTCCAACATAGAATGGGCTAACTGAGCCTATATGAACAGATCTATATTGAGGCCCAGCTATTTATAGGGCTTTTAGAGAACTGCTTATTCTTTTCAAAAGAAGTCATAAGTTGTCATGACTCCGATAGATTATATGAATTGATCGATAGTCGTGAAATCGATGTAAGAATCGTGAATCGAAATCTCAAATTCGTGAACTTAATCTAGTCTTCATATTCGTTGAAATGTGTAAAGTTAGCATTACTTGTCATAGCATAGGCATATTCTAATTAAGGAATATCATAAAATACAAAATTATGAGAAAAATTCTTGATTTAGGACAAAGATTTCTCAATTTCTAGTATTGTTATAAAAACCATGCATGAGACAATAATGTAATAAGTTGTTTTATTAGTTAATACCATAAAAAATTTCAAATTACTCATGTCATATTTACCCTCAAACTAATTTTCGTATAACAAAAAACCCCAAACCGATATCCCCATGCCACATTTATCCTAAATTTATATTCATGTCACAAAAAATCCCAAACTACCACATTTATCCCAAATTTATATTCATGTCACAAAAACTCTCAAACGGCCTTACTCGGGTCATATTTATCCCAAATTGGTACACTGGTGCCACATGACCCCAAATTTTGAGATTTTTTGTGACACAAAAAACCAGTTTAGGCTAAATGTGGCACAAATGTATTTTTAAATTTTTTGTGATATGAAAATTGTTTGGAGTAAATGTATACACCGGTTTGAGAATTTTGGAGGTATTACCCCTTGTTTTATTAAGACAAACTTTAAATTTAAGTGTCATGAAAGATCCATTTGTCCAATTTTTTTTTTTATAATTCGGCCATATAATACAAGAGTTACATACATTATAAAGCACCATAATGTGAAAATATTGCATATATTATAAAACACCAGACTGAGGATATATGTGTCACATAAGTACAAGTTGGATAAGGTTTATTACATTAGTTAAAGAATGAATATAATTAAAACATGCGATAGGGATTAATTAGAATGACGTAAAGAAGGAATAAAAGTAATACATGGAATAGGTTTAGTGCTGTCACGGTCCTAAGTAAGATCAAAAGTTGTTTCAACTGAGGCCTCGTGTAGACCTCGGCATCCCCTAGACGTTAAGCACCAATAGGATATTCCCTCCTCCTGGGAAAGACATTGATACAAGGAGAATTAAGGGGAGCAGCGCATGTGGGCACTGATACGTTAAAATAAGGGACGTAGTCTAGCAGCCCACTAGAAACCATAAAAATCTCCCTCCACCAAGCATTTGTGGAGTTTATAAGAAAAGACCCACTTTATATAAAAAGTCATAACACTGTAACACATTATCGCAGATTTCAAAGAAGAAAAGTGGTTTCTTTTGTTTTTCATTACTTATCATACTTTCGGAGAACATACCATATAAATAGGGCTTAGGACAGCTAAAAATAGCAAGAAAATAAGAGCAGAAATAGGAACAGATTTCCCACTTTCTAAGGGCGTGCATGGTAATATTTATATTCCAGAAATCAATTTCTAGCCAGAAATAGATTTTTCTATTTCTATTCCGTGGACGAGTTTATGAGCAAAAATGTGTGTTTGATAACGACATAAAATTTCTATTTCCGAAATAGAAATTCGTTTGATAACGACATAAAATTTCTCTCTTCTGGGCAGCTGGCGGAGGACGGCGGGTGGTGGTGGGGGGCGGAGGACGGTGGCCAGCAGTGGGAGGTAGCCGGCCGTTGGCGACGGATGGCGGCAGATAGCAGCAGCGGTTGCCGGGGGCGGAGGGCAGC